GTCTTTGTACAGTTTATACCAACTGCAATTCAGTGAATTACATCTTTTTCATCTTTTATTACATTTTAATCTCTACATTAATTTATGCCTTATATCCAATTTTCCACTGTCATTGAGGTTATTTGTTAAAATATAGTACTTCAAATTATGTGGGTTTTTTTCCACTGCTGTCAGTAACTAAGACACTTGGTGTTTCATACAAATACTTCACTCCACTTGACAACTTCCATTGCTCTTCTTAAGAGATGCCTTGCGGCAAGGGTGTGGCTTTACTGTCACAATACTCTCATTCTATGTCCAAGCAGAAAGGAAGCAAGGATGTTAGTTTTCCTATTTTTAAATATGGTAGGTATCATACCTAACTAGATGGACTTAATTATCCTGCCCAGATATTATCATGAATCTCCTTTGACCCATGTATTAGCTAAAGTTCTTAAAATGTCAAATGCTCATAATCTTTTTACTGTAATGTAACTACTAGTATAGAAGTTTGTATTATTTCTATTCTCTTTAAAATTGTATTTTACCAAGAATACTTGAAAATATTAGGATTAACAATATATTGATACAGATTATTTTCCATTTAGATACAAAAGTGAAATTTTAAATTCATGTTAATTTCTCAATACATAGAGAAATTTGAAAGATATAGGAATTTTGAGATTAGAGCAAATTTATTTTTATACAAGTAAATTCATGAAAAATTTTAATCAAGTTTATGCAAATTTAATATATAAATTACAATGGTACTACATTACACTTAACTATGATATTTATAATATTTTTAATAAAGTTGTAAATGTCTAGCAAGTCAAAGAAGTTTCCTAAATAATAGTAGTTTCTTTGGATGTGATATTATAGAAATTTTTTGATGATTAGTTAAGGTACATTTATTAATTATGGTTAAGCTATTTAAAACTAAATTTTTAGTCATAGGCCTCTTTAATAAATATTATGAAAGACATCTGGAAAATGCATTATAGACACAAAATTTGCAAATGATAACAGCTTGTTGAAAAATTCATCAAAGAAAATCCATCTTTGACCATGGATATTTGCTAAATATATTAACAGGATGAAATCATTTACAAATTTTCTATCGATTAAGAATTCTTAGCAAAGTGTTTGACCTGAAAGGAGAAATAATTATTTTAATATGAGTCTTTTTAAATGTTTACTAATGCTTTCCATTATAAAATTAAATGAATTAAAGTACTCTATTAAATTATAGTTAATTTTCTTACCTTGCCTGCTCCAATCAGAGTTCTTTTTGTTGAGTTTTAGAAGATAAAAGATATTTTCAGGAGAGTGGTTTTAATTCGTAAAAGTTAAGTTCCAGTCTCATACTTTATTAGTTGTAGTGTGGAGTTGATTTTTGACATATGTAGATGATTATGAAAAAATACCAGCATTTGTAAAGAACAATGAATAAAATTGCCTTGAAGAAAAGGAATTTTGTTCAATAAATATTTTTGGTAAATTAATATGTGATTTTTTAAGGCACAATTTATTCAACATAAAGCATTTCATTCAACTGAAGGCTTATAGTAAATACTTTCAGTTCTTTAATCTTCTAAATATATTTTTATAAAATTGTGTTGTTAATTACATTTTAGGGGTTAGGGAAGCTAAAATGTTCAATAAAATATTTTGCTTTCTGGGATTATAATTGAAATACAGTTTATAATAAACATTATATCTTTTGACTGTCATATATAAGCTAAATTTTTATTAAAAAAACTAAATGAAATTACATTATTGTAGAAAATGGGAGGGGTTATTTAACTATGTATTTTCTACATTTATGAATTTTTTTATAAATGAAAGCCCCAAAGTCTCCAATTTTTTTAGTCTTTCTATAAGGAATAGTGATAGGCATTTTAATAACTTTGTTAGAATACTACCAGCATTCATAGTGCTTCTAAAGTGGGAATTCAATGCCAAGATGTAGGAGAGAATTGGAAAATATTTTATATTTTAATTTTGCTATTAGAATTAAAATTGATAAAATAAAAAAATTAAATGATGACCAGTAATCATTCTTCTCAAAGTAAGATATTTTAGCTCTCTGGTCTTGTGGTTAATTTTACTTATAGTAAACATACCAGGGATAATCACATTCCAAGGTTCTAATACATCTTTAATCATTACTATTTGTATAAATTATGTAAATTATTGGAATTATATCTTCTGATTCAAATTTATGATTTTGTGTTTTACTTGATATATTTGTCTTAATATTTAGCTTGACACACCTATAATTCAGAAATAATTTCATTTTATCTACAGTAGGCAGCTGAGAGATAAAATGGAAAACCACCAAAATCTTTGGCAAAGTTAGAGCTTCCACATTCCTACTGAAGGTTCTTCAATGGTTATGAAAAACTTTTTTCCAAAACATGATAACTTTTTAAATAATTATATCATTAAATATGCACTAAAAACATGCTGTCAGGAAATGAGAAATACTACAAAAATGTGTATAATATTATGTAATTATCTGGCCTTCTGATATGAATAAGTAAATGATAATGTATTTGCATTCTGCTTCTATTGTTAGAATTGGAGAAAAAGCACTAGGATAGCACAGCAACTGCAATTTTGCTGGAGAGTCAAGAGATCCACTCTTGATTTTGAGTCATAATATTAATTTAGAGGGGATTTTTGTCCTTAATATATTTAAAAGATGTCAGCTTCAACTCCTTTGGGTATGAATATAGTATAATAATCGTGTCTGGAAGGTAAAAATGAAGTCATTTAAAACTATTCTTAGATTCGTTTTAGTATACACTACTGTCTTATGATTTGGTCTGGAGCTTTGCAAAACGAATATTTAAAATCAACCGTATCACTAGCTAAAACAATCTATTTAGAGATACAAGGTTGTGTTTTGGCAAAATTCAATCACTGGAACAATTTCAAACTGCTTCAGTCCAGAAGCTCTTGGGAAATAATCATCATTGTCCAAGCAGTCATCAATCCTAAAAACTATATGATACTAAAAGTGCAGGTTACAAAGCTGTAAACTAATAAATGTCAAAACATTCTTTAAAAAATTTAGTATCATTTGGTGAGAATAGTTAACTTTATTAAATTTGTTTTTATTGGAAGTAGTGGTTACTTCAAATTGCTTTAAACTTTAATTACAAAGTAAAACTGAATATAGTTCATTTGATTTTCTCAATGATTAAAGTAAATGACTGAGTGTATATCCATAGGTATTCACACCTTGGGAAGAAAGCAGAGAGCAGATATTTGCATATTTTCTATATTGCTAGTGGCTTTCTATAAATATAATGAATATTTTTAATAACTCTGTCTCAGTTTCTAATTACTCTCACTTAGCACTTTGCATTATGATTTTTCCTTTTGACTATGTGTTATAAAGTAATAATTTTCTAAACTACTTTTCTCAAGCTCTCTGTTGAACCGTCTGAATTGTAATGGTAGTGACCATTAATTGTCTGAAGTCAGCATTTTCAAAGCAAGTGTGTGTCATTGCTTAATTCACATAACTGTAATGATAGAGATTAAGATTGTCTAATTTATTGAATTTAGAAAAGTGAAACATTTAATGATTTGGTGCTAAAAGTATGATTGAAACACTTAGGCATAAATTTCAGATTTTTTTATATTTATATCTTGGACTATTAGTCTGTACCTGGACACATAATAAAAGTTATCTGTTTACTTAATTTCTAAAGTGGGTGTCATGTCATTTATCAAAGATAATAGGCCACATTTAAGCACTTGCATTAGAAAAATCTGTCAGCATGTGCTTTTGTAAACTCTGTCAAAGAGATGAAATCAGCAATCAACTCAATCAGATATATCAACATTTCCATTAACTTTTCCATTAACTTTTAAACCATTAAGGTCACTTGGCAGAAACCTCACCACATTGGCCATCAAAGAAAAATTCTCTCTCTTTTCTCACCCCCCCCCTCTCTCTCTCTCTCTCTCTCACACACACACACACACACACACACACACAAGTTAAAAACAAATCTTAGCACTTGTTTCAGATATTAAGTAGTCTGGGAGTTTAACAAAAGAGAATTTGAAAAAGAAATTATTATTTCTCCTCAAGTGCAAGTATAAATTTTAAGTAGTTTACCCTACATATAACTATACCCTTAGGTCTTTATTCCCCTTTATTTATAAAACACACAAACATTAAAGACAATGCTTTGAAGCTAGGCTGTTTGTGATGGATTCTGACTTTAAAAATAACTCATACTTTTTTGAAAGTTGTAATTCTTTCTCTCTAAACAGTCACAGTTGCTGCTTAGGAGATTGATAAAGGCTTAATTGGAAAACATTACTTTGCATATTATAAATCAAGAAGCTAAAATAGTATATCTCACTTTCATAACATGAATTTTATGCATGTGGTTCAGACATAGCCTTCAGAAACAGAGCTAATCTTTTATCTAAGTCAGTCCATTTGTAGGAGTTGCAAATATTCATGAGAAGCTGTCAAAATTTATGAATTACTAAGAATGCCTCAAGATTAGATAATTAACAGTTAAGCAGTGTGTTTAGGTGACTACTGTTAGCTGAGGATGTTAAGTGAGTGTGTGCATGCATGTAAGCATGTGCATATATGTGTGATGTGTTAAGTACGCATATTTGTTTTCCCTATATATGTACATGCAACAAACAATTGATTAAATTGAAAACATTTTCACAATTAAATTTAGTTTCTTATAATCAGTTATGAAGGGAATTAAAAATAATTTGTGTTAGATAAAGACATAGACTCAGCTACTTATCTTTTGTTACTAACATTGTGTTCCCAATTCTGTGTAATTTTAATCATGTTCATCTTTAGATTAACAGTTGCTGGTATTGTATAGTTTACATTTTAATTTATTTATCATGTTATTTCTAAATTTCATTTAATTGAAGTCATTTCAAAAGCATTGAAATCTTAAACCATTCAGTTCCTTAAAGGTGCTTCATGTGTTTTAATAGGCTTCCATTGTGTGTTTTTGCAGCAAGCTTAGTAGTGGAGGAGCGAACAAGACAGATGAAAATGAAAGTCCATCGATTTAAGCAGACAACAGGGTCTGGTTCTAGTCAAGAACTTGATCGCGAGCAATATTCCAAGGTAAAATCAGTAGTATCCAACCAATAGTCTCCCTTATAGAAATTTGTAGTTTGTGCATTGGCCAGGATGAGCCAGCACTGTTACATGAGTTGTCACGGAATGACAATCTTACTACGTCATTTCTCCTAAAGACTGAAAAAACTCTCCCTCCTCTTGATATTTTCACAACATATAACTTTCTTGAAATATATTTTTAACTTGGAATTAATAGTTTTCTGAAATGAAAACATAAATACTTGATATTATAAGTCACTTATGGTTGACATTTGTCAAGTTTACAGAAACAACAAGATATGTGAAGCTGTTTTGTTGCTTGAATATCATTTAAATATTGCATTTAAAATATCAAATACATATTTATAGTCTTAACCACTTTTTCAGGCTGGTGTTGATTATAGAGATTTCTTAGTGAATGACTAAAATTATGTTGTGAGGTTTCTTACTGATTAGTCTTTTCAAAAATTTTTTAGTTGTAGATGGACACAATACCTTTATTTTGTTTATTTATTTATTTATTATGTGGTACTGAGGATAGAACTCAGTGCTTCACATGTGTGAGGCAGGTGCTCTGCCACTGAGTCATAAACCCAGCCCTTGATTATTAATCTTTAGTAAGGATAAATTACTGCTTTCAAACCCTTAGAAGCTGAAGTCACACAAGTGCCAGTAGTATTTATTCTACATCAAATATTATTTTCTAAGGAGTCTATGAGATGCTAATTACTATCTAGTAAGTTTAATTAAAATAAAAATTTTATACTTTAGGAGGTAAGTTTATGTATATTATCTGGTTTACTTAAAAATCTTTCTAAAATTACTGCAAAAGTAGCAGCATCCATTATAGGTCAACCTTTGTTATCATTTGATATAAAGAAATCTTTTTGGAAAGAATTACTGATTAGAAAGCAAAGTAAATAATAAGAAAACACACTAAATTAATACAGTTAGCCTGAAATAATAACTAGATAAACCTATTTATTTTTAAAGCTTAAAATATGAACTAGAAAAACCAATAATGCATTTTCAAAACTTGAAAGCTAGCCAATAAAAAACAAAACACAGTTTTTTTTTAAAAGAAACAGATATTCAGTGACTAATATAAAAAAAGTAAATATAGTTATAAAATGTAATTTGCTACCCATACTAACACAGTGTTATTCATGCTATAAAGTCTGTCACTTTACACTTTATGTTAGATGAAAAAGGGTTTTCAATATACAATGCATAGGGTCACTGTGATCCAGGGATGCCAATTCCCAAAGAGTTTATAACAATTTTTTAAAATGTAGATTCAGTAAAGGTAAAACACAAAATTGTTAAGCAGAATATCTTCATTTTGCATACAATTGCTGATTCCAGCTCTGTACATCTTTTCTGCAGCTTATTCTTTATGGTATTACCCCCAAGTCAGCTTACTTATCTGTCACTTTTATTTTACAACAAATGGGATAAGAACTAGAAGACAGAGTAATTTAGGGGTTTGGTTTCTTTGTGTTTTGTTTTTTTTAATCCTTCTCTACAGTTACAAGAACTTATTCAAAAGGTTTTTTGAACTGGAAGGACTTCATTAAAGCCAGAAATACTTTATTGATTTCTTAGCATTATGTCAGAGGTTAAGGTCAAATAGAACTGCAAGGGGAGTTTGGGCCCCCATAGCAAGCAGGAAGGAAGGAAGTAAAGAATCAGTAAAATACTGACAGCCTTTTGGATCATTCTGAACTAGGACTCCAATCCTTAATGAGTTCATCAAAAAATTTGCAGAATATAGAGCTCTAAAAGTCCAAATCATCACTAATATTTGTAGTCATGGTAAATCCAATGTAGGTTTTTCTTGTTTGGGAGCTACCCATTCTGTGGCTCATAGCAATTTAGAACTTGAAAGAACCTCAATATAATATTTTATTTCAACTTACTTATTTACCAAAATTTTGAACACTGAGGCTGTGAAGATAGGTGACTTACTGAAATTGATAAAGCCTCTCTGTGGTGTGATTTGGGACTTAATTTTTTATGCTTCTTATATTGCTAAAAATGCATGTTACTCCTGCTTGATTCACAGTTCCCATTGACTGCTAATTTACATTTGAATATTCTATCCTCCCTCCCCCCTTTGCATAGGCATCCTCTGTCTTTCATTGCATTTGAATATTTTAAAAACATTGCTTTCAAGTATATTACTGTTATTCTTTAGGAATATATTGATTAACTCTAGCACTTAATAAAATTACTATAGCTTTTAATGCCAGTAAATATGAGATCTAAGGTATAGTAGCTTTAAGAACTTGTAAGAATAGATGATGGGAAAATATGTAAAATAAAATAGCAAATGATTAGCTCATTTTTTACTTTATATGTCAAGTAAAATATACATATTCATATTGGACTAATACTTCCAATATTATTTTTATTAACTTTTTAATTGATACATGAAAATAAAAATTGTACATGTTAATGGGATTTAAAAGATGGTTTTAGTAGCCATTTCAGCTAGTTCAAACCTCCCTCATATACTTGAGAAATTATCTTTTTTGTTTTTCAAACTTTTGCACCAAGCATTTTAATATATTCTGAAATTATCTGTTTTTACTGCTTTAATTGAGTGTCAGTATTATCATAAATATAATAAATTAAATTTTGAACTTTATTCCTTTAATACCATTTCTATTTATTTGACATTTTAGATGAAGCAATACACCTTTGTTGAATGTATTGCCAAGTTAAAATAGTTAACTGTTCTTAAAATACTTTTAATTAAACATCAGAACTATGTATTTTTTCAGGGCATAAAATAATCTCATGAATATAATTCCTGAGATTTTTTTTTGAAACGTGGCACCTCTTTAAAAATATTAAGTAATGCTAACATTCGTCCTGAGTAAGGAATTATCACTAACTTTGCTTTTGAAAAGACATAAAACTGCTTTGGCATCCTTAAAATGTGTCTCCAGGTTATTTTTTCATTGATGTTAGTCAGAGTTGCATGCTTTAATGATGGGTTGAACTCATACTTGGAGGGTAATCACATTTAGGCATTCACATTTTGGAAACTGCTTATGTTTCTGTAACCCAGGAACAGTAGCCAAAACTGATGGGATGTGTTTTGTAAGGTAGCTGCCAAGTATTTATTATTGCTTACTTCTAAAAACAGCAGCCCTATATTTAGAGCCTTCCTTCTCATTAATGACTTATTTTTCTGCTCTGTGATCAGTAAAAATTCCTCCTGGGAAGATCCTGTTCTTCAAAATATAATTAATATATTTCCACTAAAATACTAAATTGTTTAATAAGAAATTTAACCATACTCCATGCAAAGACCTATATAGCAAATTGAGTAAAGAAATGGTTTGTAGAAAGGGAAGGTTTTGTTGGAGAAATACTTCTATTTACACTCACATATACTTGCTCTGTAGTCTTATTACTTAATGTTGGCATTTCCAAATAAAGGGAGCATTTCTTCTGGGTGTCAATACAATGCTAGAAAATCTCCTATAACTGGATAAATTCTTAGGGTATTAGGTCCCATTTATTTCCACTTCTTTCATGGAGAAGCTATCATTCTAATACATTTGGAAACATAGTCATTACATCTCTTTTATCTCATGATAATATATTTTTAAAAAATAATCTGAGAGCTTAGTTTGTACCTCAGCATATATTAAAACTCAGTTTGTATTCTACAGTGACATAAATTGTTACCATATCTACTCTACAAATTAAAAATAGTTCTGGTCAAAAATCAATCATGTCAGTCAGGATTGTATGATGAGATATGAAAGAACTTGCTTGGTAGATTGAATTATCACATTAATTTCAAAACATTAAGCCATATTAATTTCAGATCAAATAAAATTATATAATTAGCTTAGTTCAGAAAAATCATAGCATATGTGAATTTCCTTTGGATTATAATCTACCAAATGGCTTTTAAAGGTAAATACAATTATGAAAATACTTTAGAAGAATAATTTTATGCATATTTTATAATTTGGGAATTGTACTCATACCTGATGTAAAATTATTTGACCAATATATATACATGAGATGTGAAGAATTAAAACATATGTATTTTAAAACTAAACTACTCTTATATAAGGAATTATGAAGTAAATGTGAATCCTTTATCTAAGGTTATTTTTATAGTTTTTTAAATACATTTTGTATATATAAAGCCAGGTTTTAGCATGAGCTTATGTAGTATATTCTAGCAAGACAGTTGAGATTCATTAAAACTCCTGATATGGATTATCAGATGATAGATGACTTTTTTCTGAGGGTTCAATGAAGATTGATAGATAACAACATTATTGCTTATAAATCTAAAATCAGATTGCTTAGCAGGAAACTTAAATATTCAAGTGTTTAGTTATGCTTTCTTTTATTTTATATAAGAATTTATAGTATTTTACCTTCTAATACCTAAGAAAACTCATATATGTTTTTAGTTTTATATAATTATATTACCTTACCATTATAAGTATATTGCTTATATAATAATAAGCTATTTACTGTGTGGTTCATTGCAATAAGAGAGTAAAGTAGAAAGAAGAATAAAATGCCTCTCTTGATAAATGCACGTTTTAATCTTTTACCTGATGACTCCTAAAATCTTAGAAAATTCATAAAAGACAAATATCCAATATGTGTATATTGAAATAGTAATAGGGGTCACATTTTACTTTTAATAGGTAATAATTTAAATCCAAAAATACTTTAAAAAACAATAGAAAGAATGGTAAAGTCCAGTCATTGCTCTGTTGCTTTACTCAGTTTTGTCATGTCCCCTCAGCTTTAATATCAGCTTTTGTGTGTGTGTGTGAAGAGAGATATTTGTTTGAAGAAATTTGAAAGGTAGAGTATAATGTCTTAGAAGAAAAGTACACAAGTGAATTGAGTAGTTTTAGAAAGAATGAACAAATATGGGCAGATGAAAGCAATCTGTCCCATGAGTAGAGTGGAAAATGAACACAAGAGGCAACAGTGAAAACAAAAACAAGAAACTGATGTTCAAGAAAAAAGTGAATAATACAATTTTAGATTTTAATCATATACAAATAATTTACTGAATTGCCCATCCAAACTTTTGAATTTTGTGTTCAATCTTCATAAGCTATTTCTTATCATTGAGAGGATAGTAGATTTTTATATTGGAAATCATGTTAATGTTTGGATTATTTTAGATTCCACGCCTGCTTTTACAAAGGTACACTTTTATTTGATGTGGGTTAAGTAGTCATTTACCTCACCATCTGTGTCTCTTTTTTTCATGATCTCATGATGGAGCTCACCCTTTCTTGTTTTTAATCTTTAGTATAACATACATAAAGATCAGTACAGAAGCTGTGATAACGTCTCTGCCAAATCATCAGATAGTGATGTCAGTGATGTGTCCGCCATTTCCCGAACCAGCAGTGCCTCACGCCTCAGCAGCACAAGCTTTATGTCAGAGCAATCTGAGCGCCCCAGGGGTAGAATCAGGTGAGTTGGCAATGCTGTTTGTATTAACTGGATCTTTATCCATGGTATAAAATGTGACTAGCTTCCAGAATATACTTTCTTGGATAGAGTTTAGTTCAACTAGCAGAAACATCTCATTAAAATTTTAACTTGGTGGGTTGAACGTTTTCTAAATTCTGTGTAGTATGACTAACAAAATGTTAGGTTCTATCTATTATCAGTTACACTTCATTATTATAGTCATGAGTTTAGTAGTTTCTCAGTCACATTTGTACGCATTTCTTTTAAGATGATGAAATCCATAGAATATTCTTACATCCATTGTCAGGAACTATTTCTGTTAAGGACCACATGATAAATACATCAAGCTTTGCAAGACAGTATCAGCCATATACATAACTGTGTCATCCTAATGTGAAAACCATACAAATAAATGGATGTGGCTGCCTTCCTTCCTATCTAGCTGTCTGCAAATGCAGAGAGCAAACTATATTTTCCCCGTTAAGTGTAGTATACCCACCTCTACTTTAATCCCATGATGATTGGTCTATTTTCAGGATAGGGTGTACTGGATATGATAACAAAATACACATTCCTAGTTCATATTATGTGAGTTGTATATAAGAAATTTGCATCAGCTTCATTAATCACCCATAGTGCTCTTATGTTATCACAAGGCACATACCCTACATGAAAGGGAATAGACCTCAGACTTCAGATACTGTCTAAAGTAAAGCAGACTGATTGTAGACAAAGCATATTTTATATTTGTTCTTAAAAAGTTTTCAAAAATATATTTCATGCAAGGAGTTTTAGGACTGATGAGAATTCCAAATACAGATGTTAAAAATAGGAACAAATACATATTATTATTATTATTATTACAAATACCTGATATTATTGCACATTTTGATGTTCAAAAAAATATATTCCTAAGACTCTTTCTTCCTGGATTTCCCTACATGTATGTTGTCCATTGAAACAAATTAAAAGTAGCCGTCTTCCACTTAGTTAGCAGTTTCATAGTCTTATAAAAATCTACTTGAGAAGTTTCAACTGAGTTTTTAGGACTAAACAATAAAAAGGAACTTTAGGCAGTTTAACAAAAAGGGCCTATGATTTTGCAAAAAGAGAACAGGAAGAAACTACATGCTGGTGTATTGAAGCCTGTTTTACTCTGTGGAGAAAATGACAGTTTAACAAATCACGCTCTGTGTCATGACAAGAAGCAAAAGGTAGAGTACCTCTCACTTCTTTGATTCATAAGAATTTTTTTATTTGTTGAAAGTAGTGGAGAGAAATGCAGACCTAAAAAAGGGTACAAATGAATTTTTTATTGATAAGCCCATTTTCTTTAAGCATGTTCCTGTTTTCTACATTTCCTTTTCTGTAGCTTAAAATCCTCAAGAACTGTGAGTTTGTTTTATGTAAGTGGATTATGTATATTTCCACACTAAAGCTGGTAGCTAAACAAGTTTCCTCTTAAGGGAGATAGTTTTCCTGTAATCCCATTCTTTGTCATTGATTCTCCATGTATGTACATATTTGATCCTCTAAGAATAATGAGGATGAATAGAGGGAAAGTGAGATACTGGAAGAGATGAGTCAGACACTCAGAGGTTAGTTATCCTTTCATATACATTCTTCTCCCTATATATGCCCATAGGAGCAAAAGCATGGGCATGCACACACACACACACACACACACACACACACACACACACACACACACTCACACACCCAACACACTTTACATAGCTATTTTCCTTCCAGCATCCACATTGTGGCAAAATACTGAGAGTTAATGGTTTTGGAATGGGGAAAAGAAGGCATAACAAAGTGACCTCAGTATAAAAACATCAAAATACTATGTCTCAGTGTTATTGAACCAAGACTTCAGGCCTTTCAGCTATAAATATCTCCTACTTTCCTAGCTAACACCATGAAGAATGAATGTCCTCAATGTATTACTTTATATTTTAGTACTTAACATCTGCATAGGTTTTATGATTTTGTAAATTCAAGTTTGTGGTTAAAATGAACAAAGTTGAATGTATTTATTTGTCATAATAAGTATCAGCACATTTTGAGTTGTCATCCTATGTAAGGACTTTTTTTAAATAAAATTACATTAAAATATAATATTTAGGACACATAGTAAAGCAGATTATGGCTTACTTAAGAGTTTAAAACCTATTTTTAAACTTTTTATTGGTGCATCATAATTATACATAATAATGGGGCTCATTGTGACATTCATATATACATAAAACATCTTGTTCCATTTCATTCTCCAGGACTTCTTTCTTCCTCTCTTCCTCCTTTCCCCAATCTCCTTTCTACTCTGATGATTTCCTTTCTGTTTCATGAGATCCTATCCCTCAGTTTTTTGTCTAGTTTCCACACTATGAGAGAAAACATGACCCTTGACCTCCAGTTCTATTCGTTCTCCTGCAAATCACTTAATTTCTTCTTATTTTGATACTTTTTAAAATTTGTTCTAGTTAGTTATACAATACAGCAGAATGCATTTTGCATAATTTCTTCTTTATGGCTGAGTAAAGCTCCATTGTGTATATATACCACATTGTTTTTATCTTTTCATCTATTGATGTTCACCCAGGCTGGTTCCATGACTTGGCTATTGTAAATTGTGCTGGTACAAATATGAGTATTCATGTATTGCTCTAGTATGCTGACTTTAGTTCCTTAGAATAAATACCAAGAGGTACTATAGCAGGGTCAAATAATGGTTTCATACCTAGTCTTTTGAGCAACCTCCATACCAATTTCTGTAGTGTTTGTACTAATTACAGTCCCATTAATAGCATACAAATGCTACTTTTTCATGCATCCTCACTAGCATTTACTATTATTGTATTCTTGATGATTGCCATTGAAACTCTCATGAGATGAAATCTCAATGTAGTTTTGATTTCCTGATTGTTAGTGACATTGATCTTTTTTTAAATATATTTGTTGACCATTTGTATTTCTTATTTTGAGAAATGTTCATCTGTCCATTCATTGGGTTCTTAGATTTCTTGTTGTTGTTGTTTGTGGTGCTAAGTTTTTGAGTTCTTCACATATTCTGGATATTAATTCTCTGTCAGAAGAGTGGCTAGCAGAGGATTCAGGCTGTTTTGTTCTAGCAGTTGCAGAGTTTCTGGTCTAATTCCTGTGTCTTTGATCCACTTTGATTTGACTTTTGTGCAGTATGAGAGATAGGGATTGGGTTTTATTCTTCCACATCTGAATATACAGTTTCCCATAACCATTGGTTTAAAACACTGTCTTTAATATACACACTAAAAAAAAAAAAAACCCTATTTTTAGTGTTTGGTTCCTTGTATATATCTGACATATATCACAAATGAAATAACAAGTGTTTTATTATCCATTGCTTTGAATGAACATTAATTTGGAAGACAATGAAAGTATTTAGAATATGGTATAGCATTCCCTAAAGCTGAGGTTTAATGCTTTAAAAGTTAATATGGTACCCAGTGTTCTCAGGAGGGATGGTAAAAAAAAAAAAAAAAGTATGACATGGCCTTATTCTTTTCTTATAATATCATGGTATGTAGTCACTCATAATACCAGTATTTTCCAAATAGGGCTTAGTACATTTTCCTCTTAATAGTTCACCCTAAATATTTTTGTTTTTAAGGTTTTGTGTTTTGTGTTTTGGATATTGGTTATTACATCAAACTTGTCCATTCAGGAAAGTTTTGTTTAAATTTAAAAATGACATCCCTTTTCTCCAGAGGCACCCACCCAGGGTGAACTGCTTAATTTGAAGTGGTTCAATGTTTTCCCCCGCCTTTTTTATTTATTATTATTATTTTTTTTTGTATTGGGAATTGAACTCAGGGGTGCTTAACCACTGAGCTATATTTAGCCCTTTTTTATATTTTATTTAGAGACAGGGTCTTGTGGAGTTGCTTAGGGTCTCACTAAGTTGCTGAGGCTGGCTTTGAACTTGCAATTCTCCTGCCTCAGCCTCCAGAGCCACTGTGATTGCAGACATGCACCACTGTGCCCGTCTTGTTTTTCACTCTTGGTTGACTGAATAGTTCGTTTAAAATGGTCCAAAACATATCTTAGGTTTTCAGTTTTAAGTTTACTGAGAAAGTTGTAGTATGAAAATACAAAAGAGCATAATGTTTGCATAGAGTAAGTAAACTTTAAATTAAAAATTATTCTGTAAACTTGTTGAAATGGAGTAAAAATGATTCACACAAACTTAAGAATGATTCTTACAATATATAATCAACCCTGGGTGCTTCAGAATAATAAGCATAAGTAAAGATTTGAGATTCTTAGTGGGTTTTTTTTTCAGATTTGTTCTTACAATTTGAATTCAATATTTGCTTAAATAAATATTTCTAAAAGAATATTTTTGCATTCAAATATAAAATATGTAGTGTATATTGGTAAATATGGCATAATTGATAATAAAAATGCATGTGTAATAAAAGCCAGAAATAATTATATTGTGTTTCTGTTTATTTTTATATCTAAAGAAGATTAAAAAAAAGATATTCATCTCCAAAATGAGCTTTTCATGGCATAGGTCTGAATTTTTCATCTTCATCATTTATCTTTTTCATTCAAGGCAGACAAATTTCAGGTTTTTAATAAAAAATCATGCCTTAAAAACAAATGTAGGCATAATCCTAAACTTGCTCTCAGACAATTATTTTTGAAGCTTTATCCAAAACCAACAATTTTTCAGCAGCATTTAAGTTTATAACACATGTTCTCCAGGCTTTAGCAAATTTCACTTGTATTCCTAAGTGAATGTCAGTAAATAAACTCATAAGACAAGTCTTATGCCATTAGTTTCATTTTCTTTTATCATATCCTTTGGAAGGAATATCATCAAAGCAATTACTACACTCATAATTTGAAAGATATGAAAGGATTAAGAGAAGTTATCTTCCATGGACAAATAGTAACCTTAAAACTATAAATTTACTAAAATGTGGCATTTGATGTCAGTAGGTATAATAATCTGT